AGACACGCCCGTGCACACCCGATACACGTACACCAATGATGCCCACACAAATACGCATAAAACCTCTAGAACTCATGTTTTTTTCTTTCCAAGAGACACTCCCTTAGAGACAGCTGTGATGTACTGTATGTTTCCAAATGCTAGAAGAAAGGATTTTTAGCATCTTTCATCGCAAAGCAATGCTAAATACTAGAGGACACATATATGTTTGACTTGACTTTAAACATTCTGTAACATTAAGTACATGTCCAGACATCATATGGTGGATATATAATACATTTATTCTGTCTATCAGTTAAAAATCAATTTAGCTAAGAATTCAGAGGGAGAATGTCCTGACGCTGCCTGCGTCTTTTCAACATGGGAAAGAGTAAACAAGCATTTTGGTATTTTATTATGAACAGGACAAACTTTCCATCTCAAGTCTCTAGCAGTGGGAGTCACTTGAAAGTGAGCTGTAATGACAGGAAATTAAATATATTCCCGTGACCTTCAGATTAAAAACAGAAAGAGGCAACATATGAAAGCTAACACTTTTACCAACTAGATTTTTAAATTATGCAGCATTGTAACAGAAATCACAATGGAAATACCTATTCCCCCTCATCTACCCTTTCTTGGGAATTGTTCATGTTTTTCTGTCTTCTGCATTCCTAAGACTATGAAGTCTGTCTTGGATTTTGTTTTTACTGTGTTGATGTTTCCCCCTCATTTATTAAAATAGAAAATGGCAAGAAAATGTCAGAAGATCATATTCCTTAAGGAATAGCCACAAGCTCTTAAGGGAGTTCATTTTCAGTCCATGGATCATGGGTAAACAGAAAATCCAGAGACCGGTACCCATGCCTGCAGCCGCAGCAGCCGCAACAGGAGCATTTAACCATTCCGGTGGATGAACAGCACAAGCTTTGAAGTCTTCCTTCCCCTTTCTAACTGTTTTTTCTCTGATACCTTTCCCGGCACATAGCTACGAAAGCAGCCTTTCTCTCCTCTTCATTATGAGTGTCGAGTGAGAGTGCTCTGAGAATTTCCTCTCTAACCTAGAAGCTCAAAAGTCCTGAGAGCCCTGTCCTTCATAGCTCGCCTACCCAACCCTGTGTATCACACCCTTTGGTATGATTCACTAATGACAGAAAGGTTTCTTTAATTGGAAATGCTGACCTGAAACCAACAGATCTTTGACCTGAGATCAACAATTAAGACAGAGTGTCTTCTATTCCCATTTGAAAGTGTTCTCTGCATCCAGAATGTTGTTCATGGTCTTCCATTCCTACCTCCTTGCTTAACGGTGAAGTATGCTCATCAATATTTAGAGACAGATGCATTGCACACACACTAACTTTTAAAACGTTAACTTATAAATAAATGTATTAAACTTGCAAAAGCATGCATACTTCACGAAAGACTATGCTACGGCTATTTTAAATAATTCAGCTACTTCAAGGCAGCCATCTAACCATACTCAGGTCAGAATTTCTTATATTTGAAAATATTTTGGCAGATTTCAGTGTTATTTTCAACTTTGGAATTAAGCAGTATAATAGGTCTTATGAAAAGGGATACTCTTTGTTACATTTCAGTATTTATTTTATTTTTGGGAAATCTGTGTACCAGGAGACAATTTAGACTAACTTTGCTGTTAACTGGCTCTTGAAATTTTCAGCTGGTGCTCCTCTGTGGAGAAGGTGACAATGTCAAAGTAAACAAAGTTATTCTCACCTTACATACCCACCAGGTTAATAAAATTCATCTAGGCTTAATTCTGTCTGAAAACTACTTATGGGCTGCTAAGTGAAAAGAAATGGATAAATCTGGGGTTTAGTGGCAATGGCCCACTCTTACACCTGCCCAATGGTCATTCCCTGGACTTTCTGGAAAGCATGTGAAGTTTGGCTGGGATGTGGAGAAAACCAAGGACTTGGCTTGGAACTGAAGCTTCAGCAAGGTTGAGGAAGTGGGCTGGATATTGTTGAGAGCACTGTTAGCGAGCTGATTGCTGTCCGTAAAACTCAGAGCATAGGGTCACAGATGCCAGAGGTTCTCCTCTGCTGGATGTGTTGTTCCTCTGTTCAGACTCCTTTGCATTTAGAACTTTCTTTTGGCTCAGCCCTGTTCCAGGGAAAGACAGTCTTGTTTTGAGTTTTCAGACAGACTTTAGTAACCCAGTCACATTTGTAGTGTACATAAAGTTACACATAGTGTCTACTAAGGTTTTGTTTTGACTTAGTAAAACTCTCTCCCTCCCTCTCCCCCATCCCCATATGTGTGTAGATACATGATAAATGTCTTCCTGTATGGCTACAGATGTGTACAATGTGTGCGAATGATGCAGGCTGGCACATGCCATACATCTGAGTGGACAGCGGATAATCTCAGGTGTCAGTGTTTACTCTCCACCTTGTGTGAGACAACTTTTCCTTCTGGGTGTGCCACCTTGGCTGGCCTGTGAGCTCCATGTACTCTCCCATCGCTGCCTACCATCTCCTGGTAGGAGTATCAGAATTACAGAATGCAAACACTACAATCGCAGAATGCCCCACTTGTGACACACATTCAGCTTTTATGTGGAATCTGGAGATTTACACTCAGATCCTTACACTTGTGGATATGTGCTTTCATCCACTAAGCATCTCCCTAGGCCTAGAGTAGATAAACTATACAGGATACAGTTTAATCCCTCCACCTAGTAGATCACATACTTCCAATATATAATGCACAGGATATACATTACCATTCCAAAACATAGGGAATGGAGCATAGTGAGGACCAAAGCAAGACCGAAAACCAACTGGGTGAACTCCAAACTCTGCATCTCCATATCAGATGTCAAAGCACTCTTCAGATCTCCAACTCCTTTGGGCTTTGTTGACTAACACACTTTTCTTCTCTTTGTCTGGTTCCACTCCCTGTTAGCAGCTCTCCTCAGCAGGTGTCCCATGGCTCTGGCACCTCTAACATCTTGGGGTCTCCCAGGCAATCCAGACTTCAGCTTCACAGCTTCAGGCCATGGGCTCTCTAAGCCTTCATTCAGGGGCACTCAGCAGCTTTCCTTAATCAAGGAGGCAAATTCCATGGCCCCTTTCTTGTATCCTTAACTCCAGAACCACATGACCAAAACTGCCAAGTTCTGCTGCTTACTGGGGCTGGGACATGGCCTCCTTTAATTACATCTCCACCAGCTTTCTGTCTCTCACTACCTAAGATTGGCTGCTCTGGAACTTGCTCTGTAGACCAAACTGGCCTCAAACTCAGAGATCTGCCAGCCTCTGCCTCTGGAGTGTTGGGATTAAGGGGGTGCACCATCATAACTGGCTCTAAGCTTTTCTTTAATCCCTTTAGACAAGTTGGAATCTTAGCAGGGTGGGATCTTGTCCTGAAGTCACCACTCCCTTTATTCCATTTCTCAATCTGTTTATCTCCTTGAACACAGGGCTTAGCTCCATTCTACTTCCTGGTTCTCCTTTTCACTTCAAATTTTACATTTTGTATTTTTCCTTGCTCATTTTCATTCTAACTCTTCATTAGAGTTAACACTAATAACCACACGACAGAGTCAGTAGTAGGCTGTTTTCAAGATTTCCTCTGCCAACAGAATTAATCCAAAACTCTTCACTATAGCCTCAGGCAGACTCTTCCAACAAGGGCAAAAATCAGCCACACGCTTCACCAAAGTATCATAAAAATAGTCTCCAGGCCACACACTGTCATTCTTCTCCTCTGAAACCTCTTGGTCCAGGCCCTCACAGCTCAAATCACCCTCAGCACCACTGCCTTCCATGTTCCTACTAGGATGGCCCATTAAGCTCCACCTATGGGATGCAACTGTTTTCCTAGTCCATGTTCCCAAAGTCTTTATCAGGGCTATCACAGTAACACGGCAGTCCCTGGTAACAACTTCTGTCTTAGCTAGGGTTTCATTGCTGTGAAGGGACACCATGACCCCAGCATCTCTTAACAAGGAAAGCATTTAATTGGGTGGCTTACAGTTCAGAGGCACACAGTCAATTATCATCGTGGTGGGACATCCAGGCAGAGGTGGTTCTGGAGAAGACGCTGAGAGTTCTACATCTCGATATGCAGGCAACAGGAAGTGAACTGAGACACTGGGCATGGCTGGAGCATGTGTGATTCCTCAAACCCCATATTCACAGTGATGCATTTCCTCCAACAAGGCCACCTCCTAATAGTGCCACTCCCTATGAGTTTATGGCTCCAATTACATTCTGACTACCATATTTAGTTTAAAATTCAGTGGTTTGAAATTAATCAAAGACTGAAGTGAATTTTTCTGAGAGCCAGGTACTTCACAAGCTGATTTTAGAATGCATATGGAAGTGTAAACTGCTTAGAATAGGTCATACTCTGTCAATGAGAAAAAGAAAAAATCGAAAAGACAGTTTCTAACAGATAAGAAATCCAAAAGCACAACTCCCATATCACAAATGCTAGATTTATAACAAAGTTGGTACTGGAGAACAATGGAGAAGGGTAGACATCAAAACATTTAGGGAAATCCCACCCAAACAAGCTGGTCTTTACTGAGCATCACACACATCCAAAGGTGATCATGGGCTGGACAGATGACCCAGTGGTTAAGAGCCCTGGCTGTTCTTCCAGAGGACCCAGGTTCAATTCCCAGCACCCACATGGCAGCTCATAAATGTCTGTACCTCTTGTTCCAGGGGATCTGACACCCTTACATAGACATACATGCAGGCAAAACACCAATGTTCATCAAATCAAAAATAAATAAATAATTATTTTTAAAAGAGAGTAATCATGATAGGATCTGATCACATGTGATTTTAGGGGTGATATTCTAAGCACAGATGAAACATGGAATTTGGGGAGCATTGATTATATTGGTTCAGCTGAGGCAAAAGAGCTTCAGGACTGAGAGAGAGGTTAGACAATGTGCCCCGTGGCCAGGAGTTACTAGACTTTGACTTAGCCCACAAAGCAGACGGACACTCAGCGTTGCTCGCTCTCTGTGATGCCAGAGCTAGCATGGAGTCAGCACCCAAATGGAGACCAGAGTGAAGAATTAAGAAGCAGGCAAGAATTAAGAGCCCAGCAGGAGTCTTCCTCAGAAGAGAGACTGTCCGGGGACATCCCAATATCATGCTAAGAGGAAAATCAGGTAAGACAAAGATAAACAAATACGATTTGCAACTCAGGGTAAGTGAAGGGACGCTGGGAAAAATGATTTTAAAATCTGGAGTGCGTCAGACTTGCAGATCGTGTAAGCTGGTTGTGGTAGCGATGTCCAGGAGGCTGTTGGGAACGGAGGGTAGGAGACTAAGGTATTGATCAGGAGCTATTTACGCACATAAGTGAGTCTAGGGTGCGTGTGGCCACAGTTCTGGGTGAGAAGTTTTAGAAAACAGTGAGGTCTGGGGACTGGGTCTCCGGGGACACCCACATTTGGAGAGTAGAAGGAAAAGAGGGGAGAGTCTAGTGCAGAGGTGGGGGACCAGAAACAGGCGGGAGCCAGAGAGACTGGCTTGCAATGCGATGCTGTCAACAGTTGACGTGCTCCACCGCGGTGAGGGATGCAGCTCAGGCCAGCCTTCTGTGCTTGTGCTCCTGAGATGCTCAATAGCATTGGTGCACAGCTGCAGCTGGCAGGGAGGAAGCCGTGTCTGCAGGCAAGAGCATGGGTGTCCATGCCCCAGCACTCTGCAAAGGGAGAAACAGACCGTAGATAGGAGAAGCCATGTCATTTGTCAGACAGTTCCTTTAATGTCTCAAAGATGGGGAAAGGGCTTCAGAAAATGGATTAAAGGCTCAGCCGACTGCCAGGGGAACAAATGCAAACTCTAGGTCATATTATACCAACAGATTTTTATTTGTATGTTTGTTTGGGCAGTTGAACGCTTTAGAAACTGAATTAGTTTTGAACATTCAGGCTTTACACAAGAAAATTCCTTATTTCCAGTTTCTCTATAAAATGTTGGACATTTGGTGACCTTTCCCCCATCTTGCTAAAACCACCGACTCTGGAGCAACACAGTGTCTGTCTCTTAGCGCCGCTCAATCTGTTCAAGTCTGTACAGACTAGCTGCTGTGCTTTTACAAGGGCCAAAATCCACACTCCCTTTTGAAGGCCACCACATTCATTTTGTAAAATAGAAGCACAAAGCTCAAAATGAAAGAGTGGGTGGCCCCAGAAGTCATCTGTCTGGTCAGTGGAAGATTCCTGAACTGGGATGTCTTATTTCAGAGGGTGTGCCTTGCCAACTCGCTAAGATTTTTCAGCCTAGTTGTCTCTTACAGACTGGCCTAAGACATTTCTGCTCCTCCCTGGATCCTGGTGTTGCCTATGTCAGTGCTGGGATTTGTTTGGGTCAGTCCCCCACCAGGTTCTCAGTTCCTTCCCTGTGATTCAGGCGGTGAGCAGTTGACCCTTTAGACAAGCAGGGCGCTCCACCGCTCGCCAGCTCCATGCTCACCCTTTTCAGAACTTTGGCAGAACACGAAGTGCATGGATTCCGCATAAGGTTTCTTTTGTGGAGATTTTTGAGGCCTGCGTGGAATGATGTTAAACAATGACTATTATGTGTTGCCTCCCAAAGTAGAAAATTAAGTTCTGCTCACTGAAATTAGTACCAGATCACACTCTTCACGCCCCTTCATCCAAGATCTACAGTGTCAAGGGAATTGGAATAGTATGTTGGCATTTTCATATTCTCTGCCTGGAGAAGAAAACTGTCATGTGACCGTCTTTCTTATTCCTCATGAAACTCACTAGCCTTTCAGAAGCCCTCTGAAGGTCCAGAGGGGCACAGCTACTTCAGTTAGGTCGTGATGTCCTCCCCCTCTCCTCAGAAACCCCGGGTGAGTCCTGCACCAACGCCCTCCTCCTTAGTCCAATCTCTTGCCCCTGCACTGTGTACACAGTCTGGATTATATTGCTTTAAAAACAAGGGTCTGCTGGGCATTTGCCTACTGGATTTAAGGTAGACAGTGTCATTCTGCTTAGTATTAGAGACTGAGGGGCCCCGTGGAAGTAGGAGAAACCTGCTTTTTCCATGAAACAAAACTCTTAAGATACATTCGACGCTAGTATCAGAAACAGCAGCTCTCCTGGGGCTTATCTCTCCATGCACTCCATGCCAAGTGGAGCCTAGAGCGGCCTATACACTAACAGTGACTTAGTAGACTGCATTTATCAATGGCAATTGACATGATTCACAATCTGTTCTCCCATTGGTTGGGAGATGAAATCCATCAATGAAAATCCATCAATATGGCCTTTTTGAAACTATGGCATGCCTCATGTGGCCCACCAAGTTCATAACAGAGTTGGGGATTGCCTCACAGAGAATGACAATATTTACCACATATCATAGGAGCTGTGTGTGGAGCCTTTGGATGAAGTTGTTACTGAGAAATGAGTAAAACAGTTCACATGGTCCCTAACTTCCTCACTTGGTTCACAGTATCAGTTCCAGGAAACTGGTACTGCTTCCTTTCCAAACCAACTTCAATAGTTTTGTTTACGAGCTTGCTAAGATGGCTGGTTCAGAGGGCTTCTGGAAAGCTAGTGAGTTTCATGAGGAATAAGAAAGACGGTCACATGACAGTTTTCTTCTCTAGTATCTGCACTGCTGGGGTAAGCCTTTCAGAAGGTGGGTGTGGACAGATCCCAGTCTGCAGGTTCTAGGAAGACTCATTCAATCTTGAGCAAGTTCTGCTGTCCTGTGCCTGTCTTACTCAACACCTTTCTAACTCATTCAGAGAAGTACAGGAAACGCTCACAGAACATTAAGCAACTTTAAACACATTCTGCAATTCCCCTGTCTCATAGGTGAGACTGAAACAGGAGGGGAGAGGAATCGTGAAGCCTGCTGTTTGCATTGTAGATTATTCCTGAGTTTGCACAGCTGAGGCACATTGTTCTGTACCTATCAGTAGATTCGTAGCTGTATATCCGTTCTCCACTCTTGGGTTCTTACATCTTCCTATTAAGATGGTAACGCAATGATGAGTGTTTGCTGAGCACTTGGGAGGTGCAATCTTTCTCCTCAGGACACAGAGAACATCGGTCCATAGACTCCTGTCCCATCACACAATGGCTAATGACACCACAAGAATCTTTCACATATTCCCAAGGGAGCACTAGGAACTCCCATGCTTTTTAAAGGAAGTCTTCCCTGGCAGATGCACTGTTGGGTCCTCGTGTGTGGCTATGACCCGGGACCCTTGCCTTCCTCCACCTTGGCTTCCTCTCCTTCCCCAGCAAGGTACTCTGGACCCAGCCTGCCTCACCCGCTTACCACCGTGTATAAACACTGTCATTTTCTCCAAGACTTGGAGACATTAAGTATTAGTATAATCACAGCTAAGTTTCCCTAATAAGAGGATGTCATGTGTCCTGCCATGTCACTTTCTGCCCTCTGACCTTGAGCCAGGGCCTCTCACCGACCCTGAAATCTGCCATTTTTAACTGATCAGCAAACCCCGCTGATCCTCATGTCCGCCCGAAGGAGCGCTGGAGTTGCCAGCATGCTATCGTGTGCACATGCGCAGTCAAACACAGCTTTTCCCATTGGCTCAGAGGACCCAGGTCCTCATGCATGCACAGCGAGCTCTCTTACCAACTGACTCCAAAGGCAACACCTTTAAATTAACCCATGCCACTTTAAATAACAGCCTAAAGCCATACCGAAACAATCCTCTGGTGGGTGTAAAAATGCCCACTTGTGTCTCTACAGACGCTCTCTGATCACGTGCTTGCAGACAGCCATTTCAGTGGTCAGTGGCAAGGAGGGACCAAGTCCGTTGGTGCTGTTGTTCTCAGAAGCTTTCAGTAAACATATAAATAGAGTGACAATAGTGAACCTTGCTCTCTCATGCCACCAGTTATTTCAAGGCTCATGTCATGAGGTCTGCACTAGTGCCACCTTCCAGATGGACAAGTCATCTCATGTAAATCCTCTCTTGCGGCCCATCACTCATCTCACCCGGAGATCTCCTGGAGAGTCCAGAGGTAATCCCATTGACCTTACATGACAATGGCCAGTGCCGAGCTGGATTCACTCACGGGGGACAGCTTTAGTAAGCACAACGTCTCCCTGCTTAGGAGAATTTGCTGCAAGCTGAGCAATGGTTACGCATGTCAGGTTCCGGGTTCTGAACTGAACACAGCACTCCCTCGCTGCAGATGGAGCATAGCCACCCAGTGTCTGCAGGATGTTCCCATTATGGTGCCGCTAGGTGGAGCAACTTGTGAAGCAGTCCATTCCAGGATTTCTATCAGGGAACCAACAGCCTGGTGTTTGTGAGAGGGAAGGGAGTCCTCAGCCTCCTCCCGGGATTCTTTCCTTTGGTTGGTTTTTGAGACAAGGTTTCTCTGTGTAGCCCTGGCTGTCCTGGAACTCAAGAGACCAGGCTGGCTGGGAACTCACAGAGACCCACCAGCCTCCTCTTCCCAAGTGCTAGGATCAAAGGTGTGCGGCACCACGGGCCGGCCTAGCGTGCTCTATGGAGGGAAGGAGAGATGGCTGAAGGGGGCATAGCATGATTCCTTCTGGAGTAAAAGGATTGGCTATGAAGCTTTTCAGGGATGAGAGGGTGAAGCTAGGGACCATAACAAGGGGAGGGGGTAAGCCCTTCTGACTCTCACATCAATCAAGTCCCTCCCCATTTCGAATTGCTCTGATTCAGTTCAAGGGAACGGAATTCCAAAGGTATGGGACTGGGAAGTAGTCCCACCCCAACGTTTGTTCTGTCCAACAGGAAAAAGAACTTGTAGTAAAAGAAATAATCTGTGTGTCTGTGTGGTTCAAACAATATTGCTTAACAGCATGTAGCTGTACAATTACGTGAATGAATTTTGGGGGTGGGGGTTTCAAGATAGGGTTTCTTTGTGTAGACTTGTCAGTCCTGGAACTCACTCTGCAGACCAGACTGGCCTTGACCTCACAGAGATCTGCCTGCCTCTGCCTCCCGAATGCTGGGATTAAAGGCTACCACTACCCAACCTTCTCCTAGTGTTTTAAGGAATGAATGGCTGCCCATCAATGAAAAATAACAGGTTCAATGGACACTGTGCTAAAATATTTACTTTAAATAATTGTTTCCAATTAAGTCTTGGATGTCAGTGGGTTGGGTTTTGTTGTTGTTGTTGTTGTTGTTTTTGTTTGTTTGTTTTAAAGAGGAAGAAGAAGGGAACATCCTACCATTAAATGAGAAATCTGGGATGGTGGGAGGACAAACCCTGTGCCCTGGGCAGTTTCTGGAAATTACCCTAAGGGGTGTCACGTGGCCCCCCACCGACCCAGAAGTGCTCCCACAGAGCCTAAAGGTGATGGGTTTTGGCTTCTGTAGGGAGAATTCGGAATTATGTTTTCTATCACACAAAGCAAGTATGTGTCATCTCACAAGAGAGGTATTTTATTTCCAGCAGAATGTATTTACCTTTGTCCCCTTGACATATGTTTCTGATAGGAAGCTCCTCCACTCTTGGTTCGAACTGTCTGAGAGGCTCTGTCTGGAATTCCTTGGAATGTTCTGGCTCTTCTCAGGGACATGCTGCTTCCAGTTTGGTTTTGGCTGGCAGACAGTGGCTTCCCTGCAGCTGATTATCAGTATAATGAGACTATGGGGAAACCTGGGTGTGTTAGCTCACTTACTATGAACTAACAGCCACTGGTTGTCATTCACACCGTGCAGACCCTGCTCTAATCCCAACCAACTTTTGCTAGAAGCTCTGATATGATTGTTATCAGCAAAGGAGCCTGAGGCTTTGAGTTTCTGTGGCTGTCCCGGGAGACTCGGGTGTTTGGCTTTTTCTGTCACATCTCTCAATGGTTACAAATGCTCAGGACATTTGAGGAAGCACATGGAAACACCCACTCACTAAATGCTGTGAGAAAGGAGCCTTCCCTTTGGGGGAGCACCTTATTTGGGTTGGTGCTTTCTTTGTCTGCCAGAACCATATACGTCTTCTTTTCACGACTTTGATGCTCTAACCTGTCTCCCGCCACGCCGCCTCCGTGGGCGGGCGCTGTCTCACCCCACTGCCGGGAACACTCCTGTTCTTTCACGCCCAGTTCAACTTTGACCTCTCCTCCCACCACCTCCTTTTCCTTTCCTTTCTCTTTCTTGTTATCTTGTAGATTATTTGTTCTATGTGTATGAGTGATTTTCTTGCATGCATTTATATGCACCATGAGTATGTCCGATGCACACAGAGGCCAGGAGACGGCCTCAGATGTTCTGGAACTGGAGTTAGAGGAGGTTGTGAACTGCCTTGTGAGTGCTGGAAACAGAACCCGGGTCCTCGAGGAAAAGCAACACTGTGATTTTTAACCACAGAGGCATCTTTCCACCACCTCCTTTTACTTTTTGAGACAAGGTCTCACTATGTAACTCAGGCTGGCTTGGAACTTATGATCATCCTGCATTGGGTTTGGAGCGCTAGAATTACAGGTGTGCGACATCTCTGGCACTAGCGTGTGCCTTTAAAACAGTACTTCCCTCAAATTCCCACTGTCTAGCCAGAATCTCCCTGGTCCATGCTCTTATCCAATTACTGGGTAATTACAGACTCTGTGTCAACCACCTCTCCATTGGCTCCACTCTGCTAGACACAGAGACATCCCTGAGGTATCTTTATGTCTCCACACATCCTACAGTTGAAAGAAATTGTAAGAAATCCAGATGGAGAAACGAAAAGAGGTTTTGTCGTTCTGTGATGTCACCGACATTACTTGTAATGGGCAGCACTGCTGTCCAGAAATGCCCATGAGTTACTCACATGATGATCCGTGATAGGGAAGGTAAGGTTTAATGGACGTAGGCTGGGAAGGCCCACAGCTTAGGTCATTTGGGGGTACCCTTGTTTAGAGGAGAGCACAGTTACAAATAAAAATCCTATCTCAAGTAACCCCCCCTTAGTCCAAACAAGAAATCAGAAGTTACAAAGTAATAAGATCTGAGAAACACTGCAGTTCCCTGAAGTACAGGAGACAGGTCTATCACTTTTCTTACAGTTACCTAAGACCCTTTTTCTTCTAATTTTTTGGGGAGATTATTTTGTCTTCTTTAATACAATTATTTTCTTAGTTATAAAAATAATATTTTTCATAGAGAAATTATACTTCCAGTGCTATATAAATTGTTGAATTACTGTCAAAGTTTGGAAGATTTTTTTCAAATTTCTTTTATCTGTTTGTTCAGAGGAATTTTGTTAAAACTAGTCCTTCCTGTCATGATACAGAGTTAAGTTACCAAAGTGAGTAGTTGCAAAACATTTCCTTTGTAATTTTACTTTTTACAAAATTCTTTGACTTTTTACTTTTTTTCATTATGGTGAGCAAAACCAAGGGTCTCCCATGTATCAGGCAAGTACTCCATCATCCAACTGTGTGTCAAGTCCCCACACACTCTAAAGACTTTGTATGAATTTGCCGATACCATTGTCCTTCAAGCAGATGTTTCATTCCCTTTCTTACAAATGTCTAGCTGTAGCCAGGCAATAGTGACACACACCTTTAATCCCAGCAGGGAGGCAGAGGCAGGCAGATCTCTGAGTTGGAGGCCAGTCTAGTCTACTGTCTTGAAAAAGAAGAAAGAAAGAAAGAAAGAAAGAAAGAAAGAAAGAAAGAAAGAAAGATACCTAATTGTGAGGAGGGTCAGAGAGTAAGTAAGATGGTCTCTGTATTTCACAACACAAAATTGTATGTGGATTTCCAAATACTGTTTGCCACAATGTATCGTTGTAGTTTAGGAGCAGGAGAGGGAAAAGAAAAGAGGTGGAGAGGGGAGAGAATAAGGTATCTAGGGACAGGAAGGCAGAAGCTTCTGTGTGTTGGACGCACATCTGCAGCTTTTGTTAGGAAAGGTTAGAGGACAAGAAAGAGACCAGTAAGAATGAATGCAGACTTGTAGAGAGGGCATTGGCATACGTGAGAAAGAGGAGTGCTTAGCTTTAGAGAGTGCTAGCCCTCATCATTCCCAACACACAGAATTGCCCCCTTCAGACTCATCCTGCATCTCTCAGTCCTAAGTAGAGACAAGGCTGTGTTTTATAGTGTCCACTCTGTACCACCTCTCCTGGACTCTAAACTCTGAAGACATAGCTCTTTTTTCCCTCAATATATGTTTTTATTTAACTTAGAAACATGAATACTTCACATGTCAATCCCCGCTCCCTCTCCCAACCCTCCATTCCTTGTCCCTCCACCAGCCTGGGCAAGAAAACATATTCAACAAAATAATAGAAGAAAACTTTCCCAACCTAAGGAAAGATATGCCAATGAAGGTACAAGAAGCCTACAGAACACCAAATAGAATGGAACCACAAAAAAAATCCCCTCGACACATAATAATCAAGACCCCAAACATATATAATAAAGAAAGAATATTAAGAGCAGCTAGGGAAAAAGGCCAAGTTACATATAAAGGCAAACCTATCAGAATTACACCTGACTTCTCCATGGAAACTATGAAAGCCAGAAGGTCCTGGATAGATATTCTACCAACATTAAGAGTCCACGGGTGCCAGCCAAGACTGCTATACTCAGCAAAGCTTTCAATCAATATAGATGGAAAAACAAGGTACTTCATGACAAAACCAGATTTAAACAATACATATCACTAACCCAGCCCTACAGAAAATATTGGAAGGAAAACTCCAACCCAAGGAAGTTAACTACAACCAGAAAAACATAGGCAATAGACAATCCCACCACTACCAACCATTCCAAAACAAACAAGAATGAGCTATCAATGGTCATTAATTTCCCTCAATATTAATGGTCTTAACTCACCCATAAAAAGACACAGGTTAACAGAATGGATTGGAAGACAGAATCCATCCTTCTGCTGCATACAAGAAACACACCTCAGCTTCAAAGACAGACGTTATTTCAGAGTTAAGGGTTGAGAAAAGATTTTCCAATCAAATGGACCCAAGAAACAAGTAGGGATAGCAATCCTAATATCTAACAAATTAGACTTTAAACTAAAATCAATAAAAAGAGATGAAGGAGGTCACTTCATACTCATCACGGGAGAAATCAACCAACATGAAGTCTCAATTCTGAACATTTATGCCCCAAATACAAAGCCATCCATGTTCATAAAAGAAATATTACTAAAACTCAATGCACATATAAAACCTCACACACTTGTAGTGGGAGACTTCAACACCCTACTCTCACCACTAGACAGAACCACAAGACAGAAACTTAACAAGGATAGGAAGGACCTAATAGAAGTTATGACCCCATTGGGTTTAACAGACATCTACAGAACACTCCATCCAAACACTAAAGAATATACCTTCTTCTCAGCTCCACAAGGAACCTTCTCAAAAATTCACCACATACTTGGCAATGCAGCAAACCTCAACAGGTACAAAAAAATTGGAATGACTCTGTGTATCTTATCAGACCATCATGCCTTAAAGTTAGAATTCAACAATAACACAAACCGCAGAAATCCTGCACACTCATGGAAATTTACCACTCCTGGGTCAAAGAAGAAATAAAAAAAGAAATTAAAGACTTCCTAGAATTCAATGAGAATGAAGACACAATATACCCACTTTGAAAGCAGTGCTAAGAGGAAAGTTTATAGCACTAAGTGCCCACATGAAGAAACTGGAGAATAGTCACACTAGACAATTAACAGCACAACTGAAAGCTCTAGACATAGCTCTTTTAAAGTACCTCATTGGACTATCATTACTGTTCAATCAGGGACAATAAACAAAGTGTTTACACCGTGAGGCTTTTAGATTCCTAGAAGATGATTCTGGAAAAAAAATCGAGTGCTTGAATGCTTGGTTGTGAGCTCTGCTTAGGAGTTTGTGGAGACTTGAGGAGGCTGAGACTTACTGGAGTACATGCATTGCTGGGGGCAGACTTGGAGAATTTATGGCTTCGTTCTACTTCCGATTCTCTCTCTGCCTTCTTCTTGTGCATAGACTCAGTGTGGTCAGCCAGGTTTCTGCTCCTGTCATCATGCCTTCCTTTCCATGTGGACTTGCTCTATCCCTCTAGAACTAGAAGCCAGGACAACCTTTTCTCCCATAAGATGCTATGTCGGGATGCTTTCGTCACACAAACAAAGCAAATTAATACATGTTTCTAACTTGTGAAACCTGCAGGACACATTTAAGCCATACTAACTTGGCTCTGCTTATTTCATTAAGGGGAAATTGGAGGAAGATAAATCCAACAGCTGATTTTGGCCACGTCCACTGATTGTACCTGGCTCCTGGACTTGAACCTGAGTCTCTGGGCTTTCCATACTATGCTGGTTTTGTAGTTCAGCCCTCCAGAGATGGCATGCATTGAAGTAGCTAGAACTGTTGATTTTAGAGCCGGGATCACTGAGTGTGAATCTCAGCTCTTGCTTTATTACCTGTATTCTCTTGGGCAAAATATTAAATCTCAGTGTGCCCGCACAGGGAAGCAAGTCTGTGACGGAGTCAAGCAGGTTACCACTGGGAAGCAGCCTCAGAGCTGTTTGTACGATAACAGAGCAAGGCATCTTTTGTCAGCAGTGGAGACGCAGGGCTATCCGTGCTCAGTCATTTCCCGTGGTGGGGTATGCGCTTCTCTGCCTTCCCCAAGCTTTAGTCTTACTGGCCCATGGAGCACGGTAACCCACAGGTAACCCTGCCTCTGGTGTCCGTGATGCTTACTGTTCTGCTGTGGGCACAGCCCAGACAGGCTGTAGGTGCCTCAATGTGTCAGCCCCCAGGTATGAGGGAAAGCGGAGCATTTACTTTGTTTCGTTTTTGTGTTGCCTCTTGGGTATGCTACCATTTGATTCTAACTGGCTATAATATTTGGGGCAGTTTTGATGCAAATCTGCAGTGCAGCCCCTCATTTTCCTGTTCTCAATTCCCCATCATCCCCAGAGGAAAGCAAGCGAAATATGTTTTTTGTTTTTCTGTTTTGGTTTTTGTGAGTTGTTTTGTTTTCTGAGACAGGGTTTCTCTGTGTAGCCCTGGCTGTCCTGGAACTCACTCTGCAGACTCACCCATCTCTGCCTCTCAAGTGCTGGGATTAAAGGTGTGTGCCATCATGCCTAACTCCTTTTTTTTTTTTTTCTATCCCATTTTGAAAGGCAGAATGGACGCCTATTCAGAAATCAGAGCTTTTGTCTTTCACGGTGCTGGGATGTGAGTGGAAGATGTGTCCCCATGGACTCATCTGTTGAAATCCTTGGTCCTTGGCTGGTGACACTGTTTCAGGAGATTGTGGGCTGTTCACAAGGTGGCCCTTCAGAGCAGGAAGTGGGTCACTGGGACCCCTTGAAGGTGGTCATGTGCCACTGCCCATTCTGGTTTAGTTCTCCCTCTTTTCTGACACAATAAGATGTGAATAAGCCATAAGCAAAATTGCCCCCATGCTCCGCTGTCATGAGGCCCTTGCCCCTGTCTCATCATATTTGATTAGAACCCTGAATTGTGAGCTAGGATAAGACTGACTTTCGTTGGCTGCTCCAATCAGTGACGAGAAGAGTTAACAGGGCTAGCACCCGCAAGTCTCAGCTACTTCACCATTTCTGGTTGGTGTTTTTGTGTGCTGGCCTATTCTGTCACACTACAGGTGGGCTCTAAGCCTACTCATGGGAAAACTTGGAGTCGGTTCTTGATGCCCCTTGTCATTGGTAATGTGCAGCAGTGAGAGGGGCTCCTTGCCTCCTTAGTCTTTTCTTTGGGGAAGTCATAGAAGGACAACAGGGACTCATTTATAGCTGCTGCTGAGTGTCACTTAGTATACTGCTTCAGTAGATGGAAATATCTAGACACACAAATCACAAATGCACGTGTTATGTCATAGATTGTTAAGTGTAGACCCTGAAAATATGCAGTCGGTTTTAGTGTCTAAGGAAATATTTAATCAAGAATGTCAAGGTGCATAAACAAGGATGTTTATAAAACTGGAGCTGTTTATAACAGGAAAATTGGAAGCAGCTACACTGTCCATTGATAGTAGACGGACTAAGAACTTATGGCGCTTGCATAATGGAGCACCAGGAGACAGCACATGCTCCTCAGCTTATGATGGAGGGACATCTCAAAGCTGTGACAAGATGAGCATATTGTAAGTAAAGAGGCCACTTAATCAACTCAGACTCCAGAACACCATAGACTAGAAGGCCAGCATTCAGTAGAGTCGCCGTTACTCATTGAGAGATGAAGCTCCTGGTTAGTGCCCAGCACCGTAGTAAAGTGCCAGACCAGAGGCTGGGAAGATAGTGCAGCTGGAAAAGGGTTTGCTCCGAGCACTGGAATTTGAGTTTGATCCCTAAATCAATGGCCATGACAGCACACACTTGTAATTCCAGCACTGGGGAGACTGAGGAAGCAGGTCATTGGGCTCCCTGGCCATCCAGCCTACCCTAGTTGGTGGGTACCATATAAGTTAGGGAATCTGTCTCAACAAAAGAGCTGAGGAATGACATTCAAGGCTGTGTGTGTGTGTGTGTGTGTGTGTGTGTATGTATGCATGCATGCCTCTATACACATGTGCACATATGCACTTACATATGTACTAGCACACAAACATGCACACATACACGTGCATGGACAGTAACACATCATTTATTGTTAGTCTGGAAAAGGTTCAAAACTCAAAATACAGTTTCTACCAACATAATTTGCCTTTACATCATTATTAAATAAAATGCCCTAACTCTGGAACCTCCTGTCCTCAAAATCATAGCATGGGATATAATTATTATAAATAACATACATGGTAAATCAATCACTTTTCCCTTGGGTAAAGGATTATAGTGTGATTTGCTTTTAAAATTATGTGTATTCACCTGTGCATGAATTGTATGCACGTGGGGAACGTCAGAAAGCAAACGGCAAAGGACGAACAGCAACTATTTCAGATTGTGAGATTACAGACGGCTTTGACCTTTCAGCTCATTTGACTCTCCCAGTCTTTCTCACTAACAGCACGTGACTGTGGGGTGGTTTGTACACGGCAGAGTCTCGTGTTTGTCCGTCTTTCTTCAGGAGTTTGTGCACCCGAGCATAGGGCAGTGGTATTTCATGTGTCCAGCGAGGAGAAGAGAGGAAAGACAGATTCTCACAAGACAGAAGGGAATGGCAATTGCGTTAGGTCTGTTGTTTGGCTGATTTACCAGAGTACAGAAAAATTTACATAACACTGTAAGTGTGCTTCTGTTGATTTACATAGCGATCCTTACATTCTTCTATTTTCTTCTTACAGGGCCTTTAAAATGATGTGTGCACACATGTGGATCTGTGTGTGTGAGTGCCTGTGGAGGTAGAGGCACTGGATCATTGGCTGGAGTTACAGGCAGCTGGAAGCCACCCAGAGTGGGTGCCGGGAGCTAACTCGGGTCCTTAACTGCTTGCTTGGCCAGCTCTCCAGCTCAAAAGCAGCACTGTGATTTAGCCTCTTCTCTGTGTTCAGGTTGTAAACAGAGGGCAAGAAAACAGAAGAAAGCCAAGAACTAACATGTGTACTTAGTCCATATCTTACTTGGGAAATATTCTAAAGAAACATCATTGGTGCCCGAGAATTGATGGCGTTGGATTTGTTCCTCTGGCTTGAATGAATTTTAGTACATTCTTATCTGCCAGTTTGCAACTGCATTTCAAGCAACTGGCACAGACAGAGTATCCAAAACTTTCTTACATTGATGCTTCAGTGTTGTTTCTATATTACAGAAGAAAACATGACTTAAGGAGAGCCAGGTAAACAGATTTTAAGGACAGCCATTGACTGCTGTAAGGGATGGTGAGGACAATGATGGTGTCAGAGTGTTACTAAGTAGCTGTAAGCCATGCTACATTGTTAATTAATCAAACAGCATTTCCACCTGTTGATCTCACACAAGCAACTCACCAACCTGCAGTTCTGATATCGACCGATAAGTAGGTCGTATTAGTTTCATATTGTGGATTAGGAATTGAGACTTCAGGGAGGTTGTAGAAGAGGCAAGTTGACAGTTAATAGTTGGCAGAGGCAGAGAGCAAACCAAGGGTGTTTTCCTCTAGTATCTTGTTCCTTCTGACTTTCACACTGTTTATCTCCTCAAATTTCTTGCCATTGCAGGGGAATTGGTTTCCTGACCAATAAAATGGGGGAATTTAGACTATTTAAGTGACCACTAAATTTAATGGTACCCTTTGACATTCTACAGGAAATGGCCAAGGGGAGGTGATTAAAAAAAAATAAAGGTTTGTTTGGGCTCATGGTCCTGGAGGAAAAAGGTCTAAATAGCATGTCACAAGCTCTGATGTTGTCCTCCAGGCTATGTCCTGGTAATAATGTACATTCTATACCCATGTGTTCTCTTTCACCCCTTATAAAGCCAACAGGACTTGATTATGAGGAATTTGCCCTAACAATAATTGAATGCAATTGCTCCTCAAAGCCCCACCTGTAAATATTGTATAAAGATTGAGAATTAATACCTGCCAATACCATGAACAGAACACACTGGAGATCAGTCTCCAGCATTGTGGGGAGCCGCCCCCACATTCTCCATTACAAGATGGCGCCAACACCCGTTGTCGGTTGGAGTAAACAACCTTGGTGCGCACGTGCCTGCTACTTTTCCATCCCTTACTCTCTGCCTCTCCCGTGGCATCATATGGGCTGACGAGCAGGAGCCAGTCAGGAGATGACACATCCGAGGCGGGGACTGCTGAGCTATATAAGGGTTGGGCTTTTCGCTCCCCGGGTCTCCGCTCTGTAAGCTTATGCTCTCCCTCTCAAGATGCATTAAAGCTGTTCTGCAGAAAGATCCTAAGTGTGCCGCGTTGTTCTTGCTGGCGAGACGGTAGCGTGGGACACAGCGTGAATCAGAAGACAGGCCACATACACAAACGATAAACATTTCATGTTGTAGGTAAAAGGGGCCAGTCAAAGAAACACACTTTGGCCCTGCAACCAGAACCAAAGAAATGTACCCTGACCCTGAAACCAGTACCAAAGGAACACACTTTGTCCCTGGATGTCGCACCTGCTGTGCAGCCTGCATCCGAGAATGTCACAAGGTGGTCGGGATAGATGACACAGAGACTGGTCGGTTGCTTTAAGAAAACTTTATGCTTCCCAAGTCGGCTTAGGAGAAGAGAAATCCCTCCAAGAAAAAATGCTTCCCTTTTTAAGGACTTCTGCCATCCATCTACATACAATTCTCCAACAACTCTCCCAGACTTCTCACCCTCCTGGCTGGTGGTTTAATCTCCGGCCCCAGAATCGGGGAGACACCAGCAGGGGGACAGGAAGAAGCATCTAGCCGTAGGGGGTGTCAAAGTCATGGTGTTTCAGTGAGCGAGCCCTTATCTGAGCCCTATCAAGAGCTTTATAGCACTGAATTTTTTTCAGTAAACATTATCTCACAGCTGCCTGCTCCCAGGTCGAAGGGGAAGTGGGTTTCTGGTCAAGGTCTGGTGTCCCCACACCTGGAATCTGAGTCAGTGAAAGAAATGCACCCTGGCCCTCAAATTGGAGCCAAAAGGCTAAAAAGGACCAGAGAAAGAAACACTTTGGCCCTGAAACCAGAGCCAAATCTGACCTTAATCCTGTGCAGAAAACTAACCAATCCTCCAGCAGAGCTCTAGCCAATCTGAGCTCAGCACTGAAATCGGACCAATCCCTACTCTGGAAAAACTTCCCCATCCCCAAGAATCCCTATATAAACCCTGTGTATGTTCAGCTTGGCTGGTCCAGCTGCTTCCTTCAAATAAACTCCTTCGGTTGAGCTTTGCATGAAGATCTTTTGTGGTGGCAGCAGAGCAGAGGCGACCCTGGGCAGAGCAGAGCAGAGTGAGCAGGTTTAAGGAAACCTTCCCTTGGGAGAGCGGAGTTGTTACACTCTGCCCCCCACCCCCTGCTCTCTGCTCTTCAGGAGCAGAGCTGAACTGTAGCAACTTCCCCTGAGAAACCTCCTGGGGAGCAAAACTGCTACACTAGGCGAACATCCCCAGCTGGAAGACCCTGTCCTGCCGGAGCAGAGTGGATACACTGGGAAGCCTTTCCCTGAGGCTGGGCTGTAAGCTGCTAAGCTTACTGCAACCTGTGGTGGTCCTTGGCTCCTGAGCTCCAGGATATCTTTCCAGCTGAGCTGTGTAACACTCAGTATCCTTGGCTCCCAGGCTCCAGGATACCTTTCCACCTGAGCTGTGTAACACTCAGTATTCTGTGGCTCCCAAGCTCCAGGATACCTGACCCACTCCTGTTCCATCTGATCCGCCCGAAACGCTTACACATATAGCATGTTTAATCAGTATCTTTTTTTTTTTTTGTCTGAAATCGCTAAGGAGATGGTATGTGTATTTGGAGGGCACTTTCTTTGTCTTTGTTTCTGCATTTTTGGATTTGTTTCTAATAAGGACGTTTCCTTATAATTCTGATGTTGGGGCACCATAAGTGACATGAGCCATTATCTTTCAACAGGTTGGTCCTTGCAGCCAGCTGAAAGCCTCCCAGTCAGTCTGATAACCTATACTGAAGCCAGAATCTCCTGGAAATCTGCTCTGGTCTCTTCATTGGCCTCGTTTGTTGTTGGAGAGTTACTATTCCAGCTGAACCAAAGTCAAGACAACTAGCCAAAAACACGTTTAGTGCTCAATTTTGTTTTGTATAACCCTAATTATGATTCAGAATCTACATGTCCTCAGTCGGAAACTAGGGAGTAAGGTATAAAGAGTTCCAGTATCTTAATGAATGGCATGGGAAGAAAGCCAGATAAGAAAACAAAGAATAATTCTGGCTTCTGATAGCTATAACTCAGGGGCACATTTTTTAAACACGGTTATAAAAAGGGCTGTTAAGCACCATGATTGAAAGGTTAGAGGAATCCAGTGATGAAGGCAAAGTTGTCAGATTCATACCTTGGACAATGAAAGGCACCATGACTTCTGTGAGTGGTACTGCTAACATGTACCCTGCAGTAGAGGCAGAGCAAGGGAGGCCTCCTAGCCTTCTAGAATGCTTGGGGCCAATATAGTACAGGTTCCTAAGCAAAATATTTCCAGTAAGGAAACTGTCAGTTAAAACTGCAGCTTAGGAAACAGACTAGAAAGTCTAAATGATGTGTAACTCTTAACTTAGGGCAAATAACTTGAGAAATAATTGTGTGACAATGTACTCCATTATCACTGGCATGTGCATATTTACAGCCTTGACAAGCAAAGTGTGTCCACCCTTTACTAGAAGAGGGCACGTTCCCCACTTTTGTCTCTGCCTTTCCTGTTCAGTTAGGTGGTTTTCCACATGGTGAGTATTGCTTTTGGAGACTGAGGCCTCAGAATGCCGATGTTAGGTATTGACTACATATAATAACAGGATGCTGCAAACAGCACCATCTCTTAGATACTTGAAGACCGCATGTAGACTCAGTGCCTGAAGATCTCATGCACACTCGGTTTATGAAGATTGCATGTACACTCGGTGCATGAAGGTAGCATGCACACTCAGTACATAAAGACAGAGTGTACACTCAGCTTGTGAACATCACATACACACTCAGTGTAGGTGATCTAAGAATCCGGTATCGCTTTGGGGGTGTAGAATCTCCCTGGGTCTGGACTTGCGCTCCTTCTGAAGTCCTGGCAAGCCTGGGACTCCAGATATTCCCATCTCTACTTCCCAGTCAAAGCCTCTTTCTATTTAAAAGAATCCTTAGCTCTTGTCTGGAGAGATGTAATCATTCATATGGTTAATAATTAATCAATATCAATAATTTATGTGATTGCCAATGACTATCCAAACTTTTAAGAAAGATGTATTTTGTGTGGATTAGTGTCCATCTCAGAAAACAGGGAATCCTCTTATTTCAATTCCTCCCTGCTAACATGTTCTATGCTAGTCAACTAAAAATTACCTCTGTTTATTGATGTATTTTACTAATTAAGTTTATTTTAACTTACATGAGAAAGGAAAATCATACATATAGATGTAGTAACATGTGATACTTCAATGTATGTAAATTTTGTATAATGTTTAAATACTATTCAAAAAACCATTTTCTTAAATATACACTTTTAAATCAGAGTTTTCACAGTCCGTCCTTCTAGCACGTTTGAAATATATAGTTCTTTCTTGTTCTGCCTACTTGCCCCACTGTGCAATGAAAGCAAGCCTTTCTTCCTTTCCTCTGACTACAGCTTGCCTCCTTTTCTCTACTTCCTGCTTGCCCGGCCTCTGGTAACCACCATTCTGCTCTCAGCTCCTGGGAACTCAAGTTCTTTAGACTCAAAGCAAGAGCGAGATCACGTGGTGATGTCCTGTGCTGGTTTATTTCACTTAACGCAATGCTCTCCAGTTCCATCCACATTGTCGTGGTAGCAGGATTTTATTCCTTCTCACAGCAGAGCGTTGTGTGTAGATGAGTAACTTTTCTTTACACATTCATTCGCTTTTAAGCTTAATTGTTTTTGTTGATTTTAAGCATACAGAACAATGAAGTTTGTTACAGAATTTGCATGTGTGTGTGATATCACACTGTGTTCAACTTAACTGTCCTTCTCCTGGATATGTGTCAAAGAAACAGCTATACATCCGTGTTTATCACCGTATACTTCACAATAGACAAGGAGTAGAGAAACCTAAGGATCCATCAGGAGGTAGGTGATCTTAACGGAGGAAGATACCTTGTGGGGGGGAGGGGTCGTGGGATTCGTGTGAAATGAAAGCAGAGAGGGGCTTGTTTGGCAGAGGAAGGGAGCAAGCGGAGGAGAGCAATGGAGGGATGTTGTTTGGGAAAGCATGGATGATTGCCTCACACTTCAAAATCCTCCAGGGACAAATAAAATCAGTAAATAATAGATATCCTCAACCTACACTTTCAGTTTATTTTTGACATCCTCCACTAGTGAGAATTGGCAGCTGAGGAGTTGGTGAGAAGGCTCAGCAGGTAAAAACACTCTGATGCCAAGCCCGATGGCCGCCAGGGCTTCAGTCCGTGCAACCTGAGTGGCGGGAGGAGAGTGTGAACCCTCACGGGTTGTCCTCTGACCTCCACACACATGCTGTGGCCCCCAGACACCCCCAATAAAATAAGTAAGTAAACTTTAATGTAAAATAGTTTTAAAAGAACTGCCAGCTTGGCATGATGCTAAATATGCATAGTGCCAGCACTTGGAATGTGGGAGCGGAAGCAGCAGAGTGAGACCATCTTTTTCCATGGTGACCACAAATCACAAGCCTTATTGCTGCATTTTAGAGTTCTCCGTTGAATTCTGTTGAGCAAATATTAATTTTGTGCCTACCATATACTCGGTTCTGGACTCCAAATACTGAAATAGTATTTGATAAATAATATTTGAGGTTAAAACAAAATCTACCCACGTCTCCCAAGACAAAAGGCCAGGCAGGGCTGCTTTCATTTCTGTGAGCTCCAGTAGGGTGCACTGCCATTCCCCCCCCCCTCCAGCTCCTACAGGACTGCTTTCCTTGGCCCCTGGTCCTCTCCACTCTCTTAAAGGCAGTGATGGTGAATCGAGTCCTTCTAATACTGTGTCACTCTGGCACGCTCTTCTGCCTCCCGTTGCCAGCTCACGTGGGTATCATCTCTTGGTTTTAAGGTTTGAGGACTAATAACATGAATTTCCCCTGTAGAGCTTAGTCTTCCTTTTCTAGACAGTGAAGTACGTTCTTAGCTTCTGGAGATGAGGATGTGGATATCTTTGGGTTGATCATTGCTTGGTCTGGTCCATCGAGGCCACAGCATCATTTGCAGTGTGTGTTCTAGCTGTAGGACAGTCTTCTTTGCTTCTCTTCACATCTCTGACAATTTCAATACACTGCCTCTTTTGTTTTTTGCTGTGTGTACATGTGTATGTGTGCACATTTGCGCATATGCATGTGTGAGTGTGTGCATGCATGCATGTGTGTTCTGGCTGTTGCGTCCTTGTGTAAGCATTAGAGTAGGCGAGCACTTTGATCACTGGCCTCTCTCCCAGCCTTCTTCTGTCGTTTGTCACTGATGCCACTTTCCCCGTGTACTGAGTGAGAGCACCGCACGAGAGTGCTAAGGTGTTCTGCAGAGTGCAGATCGTATTTATGCTGGAAGGAGCCCCACTGCCTTAGGGAGACGATGCCGTGGGTGTGGTCATATGTCAGTCACTAAGATCACAGACATTAAGTTCTCTCATCTCTACTTCTCCTGGGTTGCAGATGTTTTGTCCATTGAAACGTTTCTTCAGAAATTTACTCTCTAGAGTTACTCTCTTTGTCACTTCCAGTGCTCGGTGGGAAAGTATGGATCTAAGTCATCGATTTTGACTTTCTCATAAGATGGGCTGGGGAAGAGATCAAAAGCAAGTCTTCTCAGAGTCGAGTGTTCTCAAGACAAGTGGGCCACCTCTGCCTTGTGCTGAGTGATAGACTCTCTTCATCAGACACTTTGCACATGTGCTCTCCATTAACTGGTAACTATGATCAATACTGGATGATATCAAGCCTTTGATGGACACTAGAGAAAAATGCTGGATTTTTTCCACAGCCTATTTTGTATCCATTTTATGATGTGAAAATGACTTACCCAACTTTACACTATGTTTTTAAATTTTTCTAAGAACAACTTCTATGGATTTGGTCCCTGGCTTAAGAACCACATGGGCAGATTATTTTCAGCCACAATTTTTCATTTCAGAGTTATGTAGCCCTGGGAAATTTGCTTATTCTCTAGGGATGAACTTTCCAGAGAAATTGGAGCTTTTGCTCCAATTTATTTGAAAAAGTCCCTAGTCAGTTTATGGTAATACCACATAATATCCCATAATAGTCTATTCTACATCAGTGAGTTTGAGCATCCTGATGTTTTCCCAAGTGGTTCTAAGAAAATACATGCAAAACAAGCCAGGCGGTGGTGGCGCACACCTTTAATCCCAGCACTCGGGAGGCAGAGGCAGGCGGATCTCTGTGAATTCAAGGCAGCCTCCAATACAGAGAAACCCTGTCTTGTAAAACCAAAAAAAAAAAAAAAAAAAAGAAAGAAAGAAAGAAAGAAAGAAAGAAAGAAAGAAAGAAAGAGAGAGAAAGAAAATATATGCAAAACAGTCCCTCTTCATCACCGATGCATGGCAGGGTCCCCTCAGAATAGCACTGTCTCTGCCACGCAACTCTTCATGCTGACCGACTAGGAGACTGAAGCACCATACTTACTTTAGATTTGTAATCAAACACCAACCTTTCTGACCTAGGTATTAGTTTGCTCTCACAATCTGAACGCCGTTCAGAACTCCATATGGAGCAAGCCCTCTGTGCTGACAGGACACCCCATGCGCTAACTCACAGCTGGGGCCCCTGAGAAAAGTCTGCTGGGAAACTGTGAAGCCTCGGCAGTCTTATCAACAGACTTCAGTGACGAGTGTGGCATTTCAGTGACACTAAGCCAGGGACCAGGCTGTTCAGACCTACAATTCATCACCTCCCTTTGCATTCCTGCTTCTAATCAGCGCATAAATGGTCTTGGGAATCAGAAGTAAGCAGAGCTGCCTGCTGCACCACAGGAGGGCACTCACTGTATCTAGTGGGTGTTGGGCTGCTTGTGTGCTAATTGTTTTCACTGTATTGTGTTGCTCTACCTCTAATAGATAGGAACATCAGTGAGGAAGAAAGCCTCCTGTCTTAGGGATTCAGAGGAACCAGTTGTTGGAGTGAATGCAGCCTGTGCTAAGGGATTTGACCATGGTCTCTGAGAGTGTCACCAATTTAGGTGTTACACACAACAGTATCTGATCATTAAGCCAGAGGCTGAAATCTGACTTGGTGTGACCCAGTTCCAAGTTCTTAAATGTGGGTTTGAGAAGGTTGCAGGCAAACACAAGTTGGTGCTGCCCTGAGTTACCAGAGCCTGATTCTTCCTAGTGGCTATCAGAAGACCTTCTGGGTCATCCCCACCAGAGACAGGATTCTGTAACTGGAGTTTCTTGTCTTACCAGGTCCTGTGGCCACTTTGCTCCAAATAAACACAGGGATAGTATATTAATTATAAAACTGTTGGCCGATGGCTAGGGCTTTTTATTGGCTAACTCTCTTTTAAAGATTAACCCATTTCTATTAATCTAAATATTTCCATGTGGTCTTGGCTTGCCCAGACCTGTTGTTACTCCTTTGGCGGCTACATGGTCTCTCTGCCTACCTTTCCCAGAATTCTTTTCTCCTCATCTCGCCTATCTTCCTGCCTCTATTGGCCAAACAGTATTTTATTCATTAATCAATAAGAGAAACACATACAGAAGGACATTCCCCATCAGGGTTCATGGGTTATGAACACTATGCCAAAGACCACATTATTTAAAACATTTAATAATATGTTAAAATACTCATTGTTATCAAATATAGTAGTAACCGGACATGGAAATTACCCTGGGAACTAGGAGTGTACCTGTCTTAGTTAAGGATTCTATTGCTGCAATGAAACACAGTGACTAAAAAGCCAGGAAAGGGTTTATTTGTCTCACACTTCCACATCATAGTCCATCACTGGAGGAAGTCAGGACAGAAACTCAAGCAGGGCAGGAACCTGGAGACAGGAGCTGATGTGGAGACCACGGACGGTGCTGCTTACTGGCTTGGTCTTCATGATTTATTCTGTGCTTTCTTATAGAACACAGAACCACCAACCCAGGGATGGCCCCATCCACAATGACTGGCCCCTCCCACATAAATCACTAATTAAGAACATTTCCCAACATTTTCTTAACTGAGGCTCTCTCCTCTCAGATCGTGTGTCGAGTTGACTTATGAGTGAGAAGCAGCTTTCATTCACTAACTGCACACTCAGTACTACCCGTGCACAAAGTTCTCACCTCCTCTGCTTTTGTCTAGAAGTAACAATTACAGAAAGCTGGACTCAGTTTTCTGCAGAGTGAGCATATGGGAGCAGGCTTGCCTTAGAGGGACACTCCACAGTCACCACAACTCCGTGGTGCTTTCCAGGAGACACAAAATTTCAGGAAGGGAGCTTTCTGAAGTCCACGCTTTATTTTCTTCATACAACAGTGGATAGTGACAAAGAGTGGGAATGGTTATTATGACTGAATAACTCTAATCTCTTAAGGAAGTATGGGCAAGGTGGGGGAAAAATAGGAAAGAGATAATTTGCATTTACCTCTATTTTGTAACTAATTTGTGTCCTGTGGTTGCCCTGTAGACCTTGCCTTTTTATATGCACACCAAAAACTGGTCTAAAGCTAACGGTTCTCAGCTGGCACAGACTGAGAAGAACCATAGAGTGAGGCAGTGACTGCAAAAGCTCAGGAGAGAGGCGATGCCTGGGATCCCATCTCTCCCTTTTTCCTATTGCCAGGCTGTGTCTGCCTTGCAAGGTAATTACTGTTGTTTTGTTTTATGGTTTCCAAACTGAAGACACACACTCATCACTGATCCAGGATCTTTTAGGTTGGAGGGGCATGGAGCCACTTGTTCAAATGGGTGAGACCCATCCACACTTTGTTTTGACACTCCTAATGATGTTTGAGCACGAATGTTAAAGGCTTACTTAGTCTACAGGATTGCAGCCTACTTTGCCTACATGCTTTGTTGGTTTGACACGAGCATGTTATTATGGTCCTTGGTGATTTCAGCATGGGATGAAAACACAGCCATCAGTTGTGAG